AGTTTTAAGGATGATAATAACTTTGCTGCAAATTTCATTCTAACTCGTACCGTGACTCTGGACCTAGAAGATAAAATGTTATAGTTCCCTTTCTGCCACCCGCTTCCAAATCCCTCGTAAGCTTCTTCTTCTTCTTTTGACTGTGGTTGTTTCTTTGTTTAGGGCTGTGATGATTCCTCATTAGCAGACTTCAGACTTTGGCTTGGAGACTTACCATGTTTCGATTCTGTTTGCCTTGCCTATAAAGTTTCAGTTGTGAACATTGTTGTTATTTACTTAGAAACTAATGTCTAAATTAACTCATGCTTTTGTCTCATTATACATTACATTTTCATCTGAACTGCAAATTATGGTTAAAATGGTTCCAAATTTTTCAGTCTTCATAAAAAGTTTACTTCTTTTTCTTTTATTGTAGATGGATGATTATTATCTATTGGGATGCGGTGCATTGATCGTAGTTTTCATTGGATTTGAATCGACTCTGTAGGACTTTGCTTGAGGCATGCTTCATCATAGTTGGCTGTGATAATTCACAGAAATGTTTTTGGTTCTACAATCATTTTGAGGAAGTAGATGTCATGATGATTTATATTGTTTTTATATAATTTTCCAATTTCTAAATCCTGATCATGATGAGGTTGAGGTTGAACTTATTGATCCAAGCTATGGATCATCTTCCCTTCTCCTCATTTCTCATGATTCTGAGCCTAATAAGTAAATATATCTTTTACTTAATTATTTATTTAATTTTTATATGACAGAAGTAAATACATCTACTTGGAAACAGGCCCAGAGTAAGTTGACCAAGTCAACCTGCTTAGACCTTCTTATAGGATGAGAAATTTGACTTTATGAAGAGGCCAAATTGCTCATCGTCCATGAGCCATGAGGCTTTAAAGATGGCCTGAAAGCCGGTTGAAAGAAGTTTGACTAGAACTAAATGCAGTCAAGGCTAAGACTTGAACACTCTCACAAATCGAAGCACTTTGTTTGATTCTTGAATCCAAAGAGGGAAAGACGCATCATCATTCACAATCATACTCCCTATTTTTTTTAAGTTAAAATTTTGCTAAAAGCATACAAAAGTTATTTTAAGAGCTCTATATAAAATTTGAACTCTAATCATACTCCCTAGTTATTTTTTAATTCAATATAATTGGTCCATTTCTATGAAAAATAATATAAAAAAAAGTTAGCATTAATTAAAAGTTTAAACTATGCATAGAACAAAGTATCATTAAACTATAGAGAGCTACTAAAAGTCATTTCTCTCTCTTCATATTTAGGAGCTCCTATAGATCTTCATATTTTAGGAGATGGATAGGGAGCATGGTTGGAGTTAGTGGCGGAGCTAAGATTCTTAACATGGAAGGGTCAAAATTTCAAAATCATTTCCACATAAGTTTTTCATGTTCAACTGAGAAGGTCACCACTAATCTAATTGCAGTAATTGTATTGCTATATCATATATTTTATAATATATTACAAGAGATTGAAAACTAAATGGGGGGCCAGGGCCATGGCAAGCCTAGATGTAGCTCCGCCTCTGATTGGAGTTGCATATTTCTAATTTCTTTTTAAAATTTGTCTAAAGAAGTGGTTTAGGAATCTCATTATAAATGCTTTAACAAAGCTAACAAACAAGATGAATGCTATAGCCTATAGGATATAATTCTACATCTCATTTGTCTTCTCGTCAATCAATTAGTCCTTAGTCTAATGGTCCGTATTCAGACAGAGAAAAATCCCTAAGCAGTTTATATCATTGGCATCGTACACTTCAAAAATATATAAAAATTGCTGAGACTCGATACTCGAAAAGGACAAAATAAACAAAAGCAAAGTTTTATATATAGTATAGGGTTTGATGTCGAATAATTCGTTTTTGTCGTCTCATTGGTGGTTTATTATTATTGTCAGCTTCCATTCACGTTCCACCCAAGGAAGAAAAGAAACATGGAAGTTACAAATATATGGTCGAACTCGAAATGGAAAATTAAAAAAATAATAATAGTTTTTTAGAGAAAAGCGGTAGCTTTTCATTGAGGAAAATATGGGTAACTAATATAAAAATTGGGCTATATTGTCAAGATTAGGCGAGTGTTTTTATGTCGAGGCGCTCGGTCATCGGTTTAACTGGATAACTTTACCCGCTCAACCACAAGTGGGAGAAGAAACCGTAACTAATATAAAAATTGGGCTATATTGTCAAGATTAGGCGAGTGTTTTTATGTCAAGGAGCTCAGTCGTCGGTCTAACTGAATAACTTTACCCGTTCAACCGCAAGTGGGAGCAGAAATCCTACCTCCAATAGAGTGTCCCTCGATCCCCCTTAGAACATGCCTGTAAAAACTACATGTTACAATCCTCAAATAAAATATGGAGATTCCTCAAACCAAGTGATGAAGGCACTAATATTAAGAGCAAAACGAGGCAATGTGGTGAGGCAAATGTGGGCAAAATTTCGTTAGTGATCTAAGTCCACAAAATTAAAAACTTTAAAACAAAACAAAGACAGAACACAAATTTAGACCACCAAGAAAATACGACAAAAAAACCGACATATCTTTTCGCATTTGCTTTATGTCGACTCCGATACTTGGTGCTGACCACAAATCCTAGCATTAAACCTTTTTTAGGGTCTGAAATCCTACAATTAAACCTTAGAAACAGAATTTAACCAAAAATTAATTAATGAAATGAATCCTATCCTATATAATATGTCGTCAATCATTTTATTATTCTCTTACCGCCTTAATTATCCTTATCGTTATTTATGATGCTTCCTCCTCAACGTCCTCATAGTCATACTCATATTTAAGAAAAAGTCAAATTTCTCCGAAATTTTATTTATTTATGCTTCATTCCACAATCTGAATATTTTATATTTTACATTTCTATTTCTATTAATACATGCCAAATAATCCAGCTTCCTCCTCAAATATCTCTCTGTCTCTATTTCTATTTTAGTTTTTGAAGAATCAACTTCCATAATATTTCAGAGAAAACAGAAACTGAAAATTAAGCCACACAAATATAAGCACCGACTTTGGAGGATAAAGATTGATTTTCTAATTTTTTGGATAAATTTTATTTTTTGAAAATTAATTTTTTGAGAAATCAATCAATCAGAAAGAGAGCTTGACGCCTGAGCGAATCGGATCGAATCGTATCTTTCTTCTTCTTCGATGGACTCTGAGTTCTGGACCTCCCGACTCGCCGCCGCCAAACGCCAGTACACGTTACAGCACCATCACCAGAGCTCCCACTTTGGTCCGTACGCCCTCTTGCTCTGTTTTTTTTGTTCATTTCTCATTTCATCTATGTTCATCAATTATTGAATCTGATATATCATTTCTCCTTTTTCTTATTCTGTAAAAAAAATATATATTAGATCGGTTAAGCATCGATGATTTCGAGGTTGAAGACGAGGTCCGACCCGCCTTCCCGTGCCCGTATTGTTACGAGGACTTCGACATCGCGTCCTTGTGCTCGCACCTCGAAGACGAGCACTCTTGCGAATCTAAAGTCACCGTATGGGCTTATTTATCTCTTTTTCTTTTTTTATATGCATAATATTTGTTAAATAAAGTTGTTGATTTGGTTCCTGGAAGAAGAAAAAGCTATGATCTTTGTTTTTGGTGTTGGTCAAATGTTATTGCCTAATCTGGAAATCTGCGATTGACTTTTTGATTTTATCAAACGCGTATAACTATAACTGCTATCTTGTCATTGCTTTCTTCTTTTGAGCATGCAGTCCTGTATTGGTTTAAAAACAAAATCGTAGATTTTTCCTCTTATAGAAAGAAAAAGGAAAGAGACGGGTAGGAATGCACCCAAGTATCTTTCTTTTTTCCTGAAATATTTGAAATGGTTCATATGTTAGTGAAATGATTTAATTTTGTTGTTCTTTCCGTTTGGTTATTTGGGTAAGGAAGGGAGGAATTAATACAATGGAATTTCCAGGAATTGGCCATATGATGCATGTTTAAGCTAAGGATAGATTTAGATGGTTAATGTGTGACATAATGATGATTTATTTGTTAGAAAACGTATAAGAGGGCTTAAGTAGTTGATTATTTTTATACACACAACCTCAACACAAGCTGGGAAATGTCTCTTGGCATTTTCTAGAATGATTGATCTTTGACCCATTTAACGAGTTATTTCTATGATGACTTGGAATATGACTCTTCATCATGGTATCTTCTGTTCTTTATATAGAACGCTTCCAATTCTCACCCTTTGTCGTTCATGTTATGTCAGCTTATATAGAACGCCTCCAGTTCTCACCCTTCTGTTCAACTCTAAGCCACATTAAGCTTCTTTTTTATTTGAGCGATGAAATGGTGTGGTTGTTACTTCTATTCTTTTGGTTTTTTTCTTCTGTACTTCCACCATTATCCTTGCAATGATAAAACTTTGTAGTAACTAAACAAAAGTAATCAACTTTCCTTCATTTTGTGCTAGTTACTTTTTCCCTTTATTTCTGATTGATATTTCATGCAAAAAAATTACTCTCTTTTGTAGGTTTGTCCCATTTGCTCTGTTAAAGTTGCACAGGACATGTTAAGTCATATCACACTGCAACATGGACATTTGTTCAAGATATCCTTTAAATTGGAATTTTATCAAATTGGATTCCTGATAATGTATCTGTGAACAAAGTTTGATTGTTCTCTTTTGTAGTTTCCTTAACTGAATATCACTTGCAGAGGCGTCGCAGGTTACGGAGAGTTGCTATTCCTAACAGTCAGGCACTGTCCCTCCTTGGCCGGGATCTTCGTGAGGCTCATCTTCAGGTGCTTCTAGGGAGTGGTGGATATCGATCAGACAATGCTAATGTGTCTAATGCCGCTACCGATCCATTCCTGTCATCGCTTATTTTGAATTTCCCTGCATCAGGAGCAGATGAAATTGCAAAATCTGTGGTAACCACTGCTGAGGACATTTCTGCAAAGAATGTGGCGCCAGCACATATTTGGAAATCAAGGTACTGTTTCATATTAGAAATTGTGCTTTCATTGACTTTTTCAGCCCTTTCTTTAGCCTATTAATTGTTCAATTATATGCATCACATAATTGTCACCATCACACAATATTTTGAATGGTGGTTATTATCTTGTTACCTCATTCCCGTGTATAGAGGAAGTACTTGTTTCAACTTATCTCTCTTTACTTTTTAAAATTTGTTGTGCATGTTCTTGGTGCATCGAAAGTATGGTAGATAAAATCATCAACCTTGGTCATACAGAATGGAGTATACACTGGCAAACTTTTGTTTGGATCGGTGTGGTCAGACCTCTCCAAGGTATAAGTATTAGTGGCCAAGGTGGTGCCAAGTCAATGCTTGAATTGGTGTCAATTTATTTTCCTAGACAATACTTAGTTTTTATTAAGCATCTAGTATTTCCTAGACCATAGAAGTAATAATCTGACCCGAAAACAAAGTACCGTTAATGTTGAAGAAGCTGATGCCCCATCTTTAAGGTTAATACATGCCCAAGCGCCTGTAAAGCTGTTCTTTGAATCTGAAATATGGCTCTCTGTCTGCCTCTCTCTTTCTCCGTCTCTCTCCGTCTATCTCTCTTTTGCAGTTTTGATCCTTCATTGAGTTATGAAGAGCGGGAGAAAAGGATTCGACAAGCTACTGGAAGAGCTGGTTTTATGCAAGATCTGTTCCTCTCGACACTGTTAGGTGACTAATGGAGACAGTAAGTTTGTTTCTAGAAAAATAAAAATGAGTTATTCAAAATCTTATGATGGGGGTTCTTGTTGGGTGGGATTCTTCTAATGGTTTGATCTTCAAAAACAACCCAATACACAATACCTGCCTCATATGAGTATTTCAGCAGCAGCAGTATGAGTGCTTGATTAAAATAACCTGTCTTTTATTAAGCACCTTTCCTTCAGATTCAGAATGTAATGCAGTCTGAAGAAACATTGATTTCTTTAGTTTATGGAGAACCTTAATTTTATGATAGTTAGCTTGTACATGATAAACAAACGGGTGAATGTGTAAGTTTCCAGCATAGCAAAAGTCTCAATTGGTTCCAGTTGAAGCAGATTAATTGAATTCTGATGATCAAAGGAAACTTTTTTAATTTGAAAACAAAATGTTGTTTCTGCATGGACTAAGTTGTTGAATTTATTTACTTAAATTGAAATTCAAAAGGACTCCCAAAAAAAATATTAATATTGAAGAACCATTGTTATTCCTATGGAAGTTAGCTTGTATCTCTAGACGACCAAATTGAAAGATTTAGACTACAATCGTTGAGCAGTGAAGCATTCGAAATTTGGTATTACGATATGCTTTTTTCTATTTTGGACTGAAAATTTCTTGAGAGAGCTACTGGCCGGCTGCCTTCCATTTGCACTCTCTCACATTCCTTTCCACAAGTGCAATAACATTGTTGCAATGATCGTATGATGTAAAAATTGAACGGTTTAGATCATAAGATGATCTTATACCTCGTTGTTCAAGAAGGAAAACAATGTTCATATTAATTACCGTGCCGTCATATGGTTTTATTAATCTAAGTAGTATGAAATGAGTACATGACATGGTTCATATTTCATGCAGATGGAATATATTGTTAATAAGATAAATAAAATAACAATCAATGATATATCAATATCATACGTCGGCACTCATTATGTTCTTATTGCGCAGTTGACTGTTTGGTTGGTTCTTTTAAATTAAAAACAAAAACAAAAATCAAGAAACTGACTCTTCTGTTGGTGTGGAAAAATCCAGCTACATCTAATAAAAGGGACGTTGATATATATATATACTGTCTCTGTGTATTAAGTCCAATAGAGAACAGACAATAGTGGTAAAGGATAGAGAAGAAGAAGATCCATATATAGAATATAGATGATGGTGGAGCTATTTGTGTTGGGGTGCACGTGCACGGGAGTTGTGGTGTTCCTTCACGGCGCCAGTTTCTTCTTCCACCTCCTTACCCATCACCTTGCTCTTCGATCTCTCAGGTAGTCAAATAACTAATCATCTCTCTCTCTCTCTCTCTCTCTCTCTCTCTCTCTCTCTCTCTCTCTGCCTCTTTGAATATTGTTGTTAATCTCCTAACTTTAAAACTGTATGAATTGTTTTGTTTGGTTTCATCAGTTTTCTGGGATTTGTTGGGTGGTAGATAAGCAAACAAAAGTACAAGAGCTACAGAGATGATAGATTGGTCGCCGCCCCGCAGGTTGTTTTGTTTATGAAGTATTGGAGGACACCCCCAATATTTCCAAGCAGTGGTTAATTATCTTTTAGTTTAGTTTAATTAGCATATGATGATATGATCATCTTGTAATTCATGCCAAATGATAACAAAGCTCAAGAAAGGTAAAGCCTTTTCATTGAGTGCTAGCTTTTGAGCTAAGCCATCTTGTAAATTTTGATATCCTTCGAAGCTAATGCAAGTTGCAACACACACTAACACAGGTTGCTTCCAATTTTGATATAACATGTGTTGTCAAATTTGTAATTTGCACCTTAATCAAGTGTCAAGAGGATATATAAATGGTCTTTTTCGCCCAACCCCACAAGAAATTAACTTTGTTAATATTTGGTAGACTTTCAAGATCATATCGTCGTCATGGATAAAATTAATTATGTGAGTTGATCCAAACCTACATGTTTGAAAAACACTGTGCAAGCAATTTCATCAACGACCAAAAGCATTGACTAATTGTTAGCCAGCTAAACAAGATATCAGGCTTCAAGAAACCTCTCCATGAAATCCACTAAAAAGAAGAGTTACTAGAGCCAACGGGTCTAGCCAACGTTCTTAAATTCGAACCCCATAAGATTTAATGCAATTCAAGTAATGTATTTTTTGGGGAAATATGGCGGCCTTCATTGTATTAATTTTGCTTACCAATTACAACTACAAGTTTTAACATCCAATACCATGGTTGTAAATTTCAGAGCTTTAGCTCAAGTTGTAACATAATTCTTACTCTCTTTTTTTGCCAAACTCCTTACATTAGGTGAGACCATGCAAGATCCATCACATGTGGGCTTGTTGAGAAAAGTATTGAAAAATATTACC